CTCTACCTATGAGGCCACTGGGCCATCACAATCATAATTAAGTATAGTATAAAACCACACTATGTACAAGATGGAATCCAAATTTTTCGAACCTCCAAGGAAAATGAAAATTGGTTCAAAAAATCAGATAGTTTGAGAAATCGGGGGTAAAATTACAGCGTTTGACTAAGGTGAGGAAACAACGTTTGGTTCAAGTTATCGGGAGGTTCAAAAACCTGAGGGTTTGAGAAATTGGGATTCACTGTAGTAATATTTTAACAATATTTTCAGAGATGAAAGTCCTGTCTGGCAAGTTAGTTGGGCACATCCTGTGTTTGGAAATCTCTTGGCTTCATGTTCTTATGATAGGAAGGTGAGTGTATTTAATAAGCCATCAGACAAATCCAGCATTGTAATTGTTTGAGTCCTGCAAATATCAGGGATTTCTGTACACAAACGTAATTGCAAGCATCATGTTGAATTCTTTGAACTATTTTAGTTGGCTTTGCCACATGTCCAGTAATTAATAAATAGTAAGGATTTAGATGCTAAAATTTATTACTTTGTGTGTTGAAAATAAATTTTAAGGCAATTTTTTCATTCATAATAATATCAAAACTAATACTGTTGTCATTTGCAAGAGGAACAAAGGAAAATTGTTGGCAAACTTAGAATGTTAAACATGAAGCATCACACAAAAGTATGGTAAATGTCATGCACTTCACCGATGCACCACATACACTTTGTATGTGAACATGTACTGTGATTGTCATAAACCATGTTATCTCATTCAGGTTATTATTTGGAAAGAAACTAGCAATGGATGGGCAAAACTTCAGGAATTTTGTAATCACGATTCTTCAGGTAAACAAAATAGATTCAGTCAGTTAGTCAGTCAGAGAATCAGGTAGTCAGTCAGTCAGTCAGTCAGTCATACAGACAGTCAGTCCTAGCGACAGACGGACAGACAGACAGACAGACAGACCTACAATGTTGACAACACTTCCAAAAATACAAGAGGTTCCGTCAAGTTCAACAGTAATGTTGTTTAATATTATTGTAAGTTGTCAACAGCTTTTGATCACACTTTTATAGAATAAACACATTATAAGTAAGTAAAGTAAGTAAGTAAGTAATTCTTTATTTAACATGACCACTCGCTTAGCTAAAAAGCTTCTTTACAGGAAACCCACGCAAAATGTCAAATGGTTATAAAAAACAATTGAAGTATTTTTTCTTTACGTGGTTTGATTTGATCTTGTTTCAGTGAACGCTATATGCTGGGCTTCTCCAGACTACGGCTTGATGTTAGCTTGTGGTTCATCAGATGGCTCTATCTCAATTTTAAGTAGTTCAGGTTTGTGTTTTGTTATTTTCTTCAAGAGTGGAATCTTTTGTTCCAGATTCCAAATTCTTATAGGCCATGTTGTTTTCATTTTCAGGTGATGGAACGTGGGAAACAAAGGAAATAAATAACGCACATACGGTAAGTTTGATAATGTTTAAAATGTCACTGATTCTGCCATGAAGAGTAGAACAAACATTCTCACACACTGAATGACATTTGTCTGCCACACAAGGCAACAGCACTTTATTAACAAACAACAAAACCGAAAACAGCATTTACAAGGACTAATGGTGTGAAATATGCAACATCAAAGCCTAAGCCTGTAGGCAAAAAACAGAACATCAACAATACTTAGAATGTATCAGATGAGCGCAGACTGGCAAAGGAAGGGTGGGCGGGAAAAGCTGTTGCTTGTATGGCAAGAAACAAAAAATTGAGTCACAAGACCTAGCATGACACTTGATATCCTAACTCAAGCCCAGCCCCCGCTTCAGTGTGTGAGAACCTAATTTCTCACCTCTTTTGCAAGCTCAGCCGGTGAGAAATCCATGTTCATCTCTTTTTAACACTCATTGCTCAGTTTGTCTTGATCTGCTCACTGTTATTAGCTGTCAGGATGTAGCAGATGAGTAAGAGTTAGTCTTGCTTCTGTTCACATGCATGGTCTAAATTTGTGATCTTGCGTGTTGTAATGATCAAGTACATAATTATTAATAAGCCTGTTCCAAATTAAAGTTTCTTTACATGTGGGGTGCATTTACATTAGTAACAGTTGTCATAATAAACTTGTATAATTACATTAAAATTATTTTGTACTGCAGAGAAAAATACAATGTGAGTAGGAGCTTAAGGTAACTGAGTTAAGATAGTAAGGTTCAGGTACATTTTGGATGAATCTAGATTAGTCAATGACTGGTTCTAGAACAGAGATGGTTGCAAGCACTGGTAGACCTCTTTGGTGACTAAACCTGCCAGATACAGGTGCTGTACATTGTTGAGATTGGCCTGTTAAAATCATGGTCAGAGCCATTCTGGCTATCAAAAAATATTAAATATTAAAAATATGATTTCTACTTCTTGTGTACCATTTTTCTGTCAGGTAAATGTTCCTTCAGATCTGATCACTCATTTCTTATTATGATTGTTCTTTTATTTTTCTTGTTTAGATTGGTTGTAATGCTGTTAGCTGGGCACCTTCAGTCTCACCAGGATCATTACTAGAGGTAATGAAAATGACAGGAGAATTCCTTAACTCCTGTTACTACAGCCCTACAGCCCAATAATTATTCTTCACTAGGAGTAATGGACAATGTGGAACAAACCTTTTTATTCATGTTCCATTTATTTAATTATCAATTTATTACCCATTAATTACTTGAGGTATAGAGTACATGTATATAGTATAGATTCAGGGCTGGACAAAAAATTGCTGACCGGTAGCAACTGTCTGGTGCAAGCAGATTTTCCTGCTCGGCAAGTAATGTTTCATTCTCACTTGCACAATGGGCAAAGGCCAAGGCAGGTTGTCTTTCAACTAAGTAAAAGAAAGGTAAACTAAGACTTCCCATGGCAAGCAAAATTTAAGAGCTGCTTGTCTGAAGGCAAGCTGGAATTCAAGTTTTTTTCTAGCCCTGATAGAGTAGAGGATTGCTGTCCACATACTCGTATTTAGTTTCTATGTCACAGTAAGGTTGTTCATACATGTACACCAAAAGTGTGCAGCAATATTTTGTCAATCTGCAATATTAATTATCCTTTCCAGCCATAATGCAACTTCTACCTCTGAACACTAATGTGCTAGGGCTGATCTACACAGCAAGACTTTTGCTTGCATGTTACATGCTTAAGACATTCCTGCCGCACAAAATTGTTCTTCTTAATCAAACCTACCGCTTACAAACACAATAGTTCCATGTAGCTGTAAAGACTCCCCTAGCTCAAGCTATGTACAGTTTCTCTTTTGTAAATAGTTTTAAATGCCTACTCTCAAGACCACACCTCGGTATTCAAGGTATTGCTGCTATTGTATGATTTTGATTGACAGTGAAAACATGTCCTGACTGAAAAATTCTCTAACCTAAACAACAGCTGTTGTTGCAGTTCTCAATGGTTGACATATGTCATTCTGCCCCATATTACACACAAATTGTTGACCTTTTTGCCTTGCTTGTGTACATTCTTAAAGAGGAATATATTAGTGTAGGTTCAACTGAAATTATTAATAACAGCTGCTGTTTGTTGATGTTTTTTAGCCTGGATCAAAGTCAGGTGTTTTAGTGAAAAGATTCGTCACTGGAGGATGTGATAACTTGGTAAAAGTATGGAAGTAAGTCACAATTAGTATCATTTTTCTGATCAGTGTGACTTTTGATTGTCTTTAAGTGAGTGTCCACTGTGTGCTAATCCATTTTGTTTGTGTAATATTTAAAGAGAGGTTGATGGACAGTGGGTGGAGGAAGAGGAACTAGAAGCACACAGCGACTGGGTTAGGGATGTTGCCTGGGCCCATAATGTTGGTCTTCCTGTCAGCACCCTAGCAACCTGCTCTCAGGTAATGCAGTCATGAGTTAGGTAATAGATAGAGGGGTTCTCAATAACTTTTGTCGTAAATCCAAACAAAACCAACAACAATGGCTAATCACATCTAACAAACCTACTAAGCAGCACAATCAATGAATGACACCTCAAAGCAAGTTAAGACATCATAATCACTAAACAGGGAAAATTGTGCACGACCAAGGTGCAATTTGTTTTCATTAATTGCATCTGACTGGTTCAGTAGGGGGTGGAACTCTAAAATCAATCACAAAGCATTATTTATGCAAAAACAAAGCAATTACCAATTACTTTCAAAATTTGGTTAACTGATCCTGAAATTGTTAAACAACAAAGTGAAAAAGTTCATTGTATCTTTATAATTCCAATGTTCCAACATGTTCACTTCTCTGGTTGGCGCTGGTATAGGGAATTTATTACTTTTAATGCTGAGCATCGTCATAAGATTCGTGCTATTTGTTGCTATACTTATGGCATTTCCAAATTATTTATTTATATATCTATTTTTGTGCAGGATTGTCGTGTAGTAATCTGGACAAAAAATGAAGTTGGAGGAGGATCATGGACTTCAAAGGTAATTAAAACAAAAATGTGTTTCTGAGAAGCACGTTGATGATCTCTGGAGATTACAATTCTTGTTGAATCCCTTTTCTTGGAGGTAACCACGTGTTGTTGTAACACATTTGCAGGTTTTAAAAAAGTTTGGTGATGTTGTGTGGCATGTGAGTTGGTCAGTAACTGGAAACATTTTAGCTGTATCTGGTGGAGACAACAAGGTAAAG